TTTCAGATTTTTGACGCGTTTGAGCAGCGGATCGCTGATACCGCTTACGACGGGGCGTTGCGAAAAAAGGCAGAATTGCGATTGCAACAAATGAGGGACTGGTACGCAAACGAGTACATACCTCTCCTCGGAAAGTGGTTGGATCAGCGCGAGCGCGAGTACGCAACGAAAGCGTCTCTGGATTTGCTAAAAGCTGATGGCGAGTCTGCAAACGCGGAAGAGAAGACCATGAATCATATGGATCTGCAGATGAAGTGGGCAACAGAGGACGACTTGGTGAATGCTGATTCCCCCGGAAGCAAGTCTGAAAGGCTCTGGACACCCCCGGACGCCACTTCTTCTACGGAGGAGTCCGCTTTCCACTGGAGATACAGACACAGTGTCTGGCTCGGACGTTACTTCGGCCACCCAAGTGAGTTGAAGACGCTCTTTGAAGAGCGGCAGCCGGCGACCTCCGGAACGAGCAACATCAGTGGCACCCCTACTGCTACAGGAGCTGATATTGCCCTGGTGGGCGCTGCTGGACGCGTGGATCACCAGCATGCAAAGCACGATGAAGACGAAGAAGCAGCACGGCACGAGCGTGCTAGAAAGCGCGCGCGCCCACAACAGCAGCTGGCTCTGCGCGATAAGATCCTTGCGTACACGCCAGGATACATGAAGCAGGCTTTTTTTACGCAGGAACGGACCGAGGAAATCTCCGAGATTTTACACAGCCGTCTTGGTGGTTCACAGTTCTTGGACGGCTACTTCACGAAAACCAACATGCTTCTTGACACTCGTGCTGACACGGCCGCGATGGAAAAATGGATGGTGACGTCGTCGAGCGCGGACGCCGGAAAAGATCCGAAAAAACCCGCGAACTTGCGGGAGAGCTTCCAGCGAGTGCGCTATGTCGTTGCCGGGGCACTGCCGGGACCACTCGCTGATGAGGATGCGCCGACGAACAGGCTGGGAACACGGCGGAGCAGGCCTCTGCCACCGCACAGGCACATGCGCGTCTCGGACGTCCTCAATAGAGTGAGGGTCGAGGTTTTGCAACGGCTCGACGCCGAGATTCTCGAGTGGATGCGTGGAAAATGCCTGCCAGCTCTGAAAAAGCAGCCACCGGATGCAATGAGTCCAGGAATGGGTAAATTCATCAGTGAATTCATTAAGTTTCTTGCGCCTAAAGAGAGGAAATTCGACACGTGGTCGCGGGGAATGCGCAATGATACTAATAGAGATCCTCAAGGTAAGAACGATGATGTCGGCACCTACGCCGCTGGAAGAATGAGGTTCCCTAGGCCCGGCTTCGAGTACCAGATGCGCCAGCGCGACGGAGCGGGGTGGAATGCGGATGCCTTTCTAGAAGATGCCGAGTCCTCCACAGGGTCTTCTGCGCACTCTGGAGCTGCTGGTAGTTTGATGGAAGAGGAGGACGGCTGCACGGATCTTTTTGCAGAGGATGCGGCAGCTACGAGCGCGCAGTCCGGTGGCACACCGTCGATGAAGAAGGCACACAAGATGGCTTCCTCGGCGAGGCCGTCTTATCTAGCGCGCTTTTTACCTTCGGAAGAAGATTCTGCGCAGACGCCACCGTGGGCTGCGTTTGCGAAGGACCCTGAGAACCCCTTTGAAGGGTTTTTCGTGAAAGCAGTGCCTACAAGAAATGCCGATGGGTCGGAATCGTTGAAGGTAAAGCTGCAATTTGACCTGGATCGGGATGAGAATGGTACAGACGCTTTGCGGCCAAGCCATCGCAACAAGACAACGTCGTTTCAACAGCGTGCGCTGGATTTGGAAAGCAAGTTTCGCAACGCCAAGTGGCCGGCGGAATCAGCGTCGTGGTCCCACCTCGGCGAAGATTCCACTGAGTGGTCCAATTTGGGAGACTTCACGTCTAAGGTCCTGCTCTCGTGGTGTTTCTCCATGTCCGCCATGCCAACCTGGGCACAGGAATTGCTGAAAGAACGTGTACAGGTCTATTACGCGAGGGAGTACGCTGCTTCGCACACGCCGAAGCACAAACGTGAGTACCCGGGTCAACGTCATCGTCTCGGGGTGCACGTTCTGGAAGACCCTCTGCGTTCCCCCTTTCGACTGCGTAAGCACACCTGGTCAGGGGGGGACTTGAGCAAGTGGGATGAGATCGCCGATCCCATGAAGTACAGGGAGAACGGCCTCTCTAACTCTTCGATCAAAGCACCAGAGACCGCGTTTGACGATGTCGACGAGGTGAGGGAGAGGTGCGTGCCTAACCTCGACCTAGGGAGACGACCTACAACAGCGAACTCTCCTGTGGAAGATTTGGAGTCGTCTTCTGATGATCTGGAGGTGGACCCGTTTGGGGGTACCACTTTTGGCCCCAAAGTCGCTTGGAACTTCATAGACGCTTTTGGTCGGGATACCGATAATTTCGGCTTGGCCGCGGACGATAGATATTTCCATTTGCCCGACGCTGTGCCCAGCGAGCAAGGCACTGCCGCTTCAAGAGTTTTCTGCACGCCACCGAATGGGGAAGCGAGAAAAAGCGTCGACCCAGAAGACGACAAGCCTCTCCTGTTGACGCAGTTCGGGCATATAGCGTTATTCAACGCCTTAGAAATCGACTTGAACGCGTTTGTTTACGAGCTCGTGGAGGAGATTCAGGTGAAGAACGCAGAGCTGTTTTACTTTGACGCGGATGACAGGATCCCAGGCGTGTCATTGACGCTGAGTGAAATCTCCTCGATGCGAGTAGGATTACCGGTAGACAGGGTGGAGAGGCTGCAGCCTGTGGCGGTCGAGGCAGACAAGAAAACAACCACGGTTGTTCTTGATGCGGCTCCCGCCGTGTCACCTGAAGATTCTAGGAGTACTATTACCTCAAAAATAGCTATCGCACCATTTGACTTCGCAGCGAAGACTGCAAAACGCAATTACGAGCAGAATGAAACTCCGCAGTTCATCCTGGATCTCGTGAACGTGGGCAATAACAGTGGACACTGTAATTGCGCAAACGCCGGTTATGACGGGCAAAGCCAGAGTGACAAATCTGTGGAAAATTTGCGTAAGCACTATCCGCTGGCATACTCCACTGCAGCGACGACGGATGAAAGCCGTGAGGAAGGCAAGTGTGGATTCTTCGGAAAGATCGTGGAGTGGTTCGCAGGTAATGACGCGCAGGAGCACGAGGGCGGTGCCTGTGTCTACCACCACACACGAGCCGACTTCTACAGGGGAGCGCTGGCGCTGAGCTATGCGAATCCAAGTAAAGGGTGGGAAGCCCTGCATTTATTGACCCGGATTCAGTCAAAATACGTCAGGATCGCAAAGGAGATAGCCGACAAGAAACCTCAGCCAGAGCGAGCTAGGGCAGACTCGAAGAAAAAGGAACGTCGAGAAAGAGACACAGGGTACGTGGCAACGCTGCACGCAACAATATCACCTCATTCTCGAATGGAGGGATCTTACCTCACCTCCACTTCAACGGCCTCGCCATCCACATTTTCCGCCAACATGGAAGATGAAGACTTTTGCGACTTTTCCACGCTTTTCCTTCTTCCAGTGTCGATTTCGACGGCCGGCAACCGGCGTGTGGATCCTCTTCAATACCGCCTTTTCAACTACACTCTGCGGAAGGACAAAGTTCGCCACAAAAACAAAGAGGGGCAAACCGACATTTCCGATGAATGGATTGCGCTGCGCAAAGAACAGGCTCGCGACCGAGTTGTTTCTTCTGAGGAAATTCCGCGTCTAAGCCACTCGACTGCACAAGACGAGGAAGACAAGCATGTTGCGGATCTAACAGAGGTGCGCGACCGAAACGAGCACTACTTGCAGTCTCTTCGTGTGAAGCGCGCACCAGAACTGGAGCAGTTTCCAGTCGATAACGAGGAATCGCCGTATGCAGTTTGGTACAAAATCGAAGAGATTGAGAAGGTAAAGCCCCACGATTATTACCCGTGGTACAACCACACCAAGCGGCCGCTCGATAGTGTCGAAGATGATAGAGGCACTAGTCTTGTAAAAAAATCTGAGAAGACGCGGCCGAACGGAAGTGTCTCGCAGATCGTGAAAGCGGATGCTGCTGTCGAAGTGGGACATAATGTCGAAGTGGACTTGAGCGCCAGCAGTATGAGTGAGGCGGAAGCAAACAGTGCCAAATATCTTAACTCCGTGCAGTACGTACGTGCAAGCTCTGGAGCGGATCAACGTGACCTCACGGCGCTTGGCAGAGCGAGTGGAAAAAGTGGCTCCCATGGTTTGGACGGCTTGCATGGGCAACCCGCTGGCCACCTGATGATAAAGATTCGACACGAGAAACGGTTTTTCCCGAACGAAAGCTTCAGCGAAGAGGCAGCCGGTAGTGCCTCTTCTTCTCCAGAAAATAAAGGCGCAGAAGAAGATGATCAATCGGGATTGACAAAAGAAGACTTCAGGAGAGAATTTTTGCAGATACATTCACGTTTGGTGCAAGGCTTTCACGACCGCATAATGGGCACCGACGGCGACACGACAGAACGCGTAGATGGGGAGGGTTCGGATCATCCATATAGGGCCTTTAAGGCAGCGATTCCTCCGCTCGAGTGGGCGCGCATTCTGCAAATTGAGTTGTCGGGTGGTCGCGGTACCGGCGCACAGATTGGTGGGTTTGGCGACAACGCGAAGCCCGCCGAAGAGGAGAAGCTTCACGGCAGAAGTGGGGAAGAGATCCTGGACGGAGAAGGTGGTCAGGCGCCATCGGACGAGCACCACGAGGTCTACACCGGCGTTGCGGCGGAAGAGACTGCCAGTGAACGAAGCGGTGCGGAGCCATACAAAACCTACGAGGACTTTGAAAAGGAAGAAAAGGGATTAGAACGATTGTATGGGCGTAATGAGGAAGGTATTGGCTCCCATCAGGACGGAGAAAATAACGCCGGCAGTATTGCGCGTGAGAGAGCGGAGAAATTGCGCGATGTCGAGGACGCACTAGAACGAGCTAGGAGAGAGGGGCACGACAAGCGGGCGAAATATTTTCCTCAGACGCTGGAAATCGACTGGCTAAGCGATGGGTACTAAATTTAAACTTTTTGATGACTGCTTCTGCCTTGCTGTTGCCTTCTACTTAGTAGCAACTTGAAATATTACTTCCTCTTTCGTAGTGGTCTTGGTCTCTGATCGAGTTGTCAAGTCCTTCATAGAAGATGTGAAAGTACGTCGGCGTCCTACCCTCAGGCTCAAATTGATGGCAATTAGGATTCTTTGACAGACCTTTTTCTCAGTCGTGCTAACGCGCAGCTTGTCAATCGGACTGAGCTTCCTTAAACCAAAATAAACGACTCGCTTCACTTTCCCAGACGCCGAACGCTGGAGATTCAGCACCATCTTTTGCAGTCAAAACATTAGACGTAGTATCAATTGTCATATATTTTTTGCTGGTAGCGGTTACTGCGAATCAATTCCAAACCTAATCCGTTCTATCTTGTACTACACCTGCGCAGGTATACCCGTTTCGCGGGAATCGTAAGTTCGTTCTCAGCCGCTTTTATGCTTTATTACATCTGGGGTGATGGTGGATTCGCATGGTTCGCACAAATACCGGCTAGTCTTTCGACATTAGCGAAACTTCGCGGAGCTCTAATGACCTTCGTTGACAACATTGTAATATATATTTATAACTATTAAGCCATGTTGGTTTTCTCGAATAAGCAGATTATCCGGTTGGTTTCTTTTCGCGATTACTTTCTTCCATCATTGACCAACTAAAGTGCTTGAAAATGATAAAGAGGATTCATAATTACTTGGAAGCACCATCACTATGATTATTCTGGTAGATGTTTCACTAGAGACAGAGAGACAGGTTCACTGAGCGGTGAATTTTTTATGGATAGGGATGCGCATATACGTATAGTATGCATGTCTGGCTTTGACATGCCTGCATAAATCATAACGCAGTATAAATATAAGTAGAACAATTCAACCGCCGTATCCACAGGTTGACATCACGTTTGCGCAAAGCATCGTCGAGGCGCATTTTGGTGCCTTCAACGACAGCTTCCTCAGTCTGGCTCTGCACAACAACTCTACGCATCATGACCCAAAAAATGGGACGCGGGGAAGCTTCAAGCACGACTTTCATACAGTGCTTGTCCGCGGCGAATTCGGTAATATCGGACCTGGCAAGGCAGGCTTGCCGGGAACTGCAGGCATCGGGGGCAGGGGCGGATCCGCAGGGGTTCTGATGATTTCGACGCCGAAGGTACTCCGTAGCCAACTACTACAATAATAGGAAGCAGTTGATGGCCATATGAATCGGTTGTATTTATATATGACTCAGGGCCTTGAGGCCTTCCACCTACGTCGGAAGCCTCTGCGGGACAGCCAAGCAGCTGGGAGGAAGCGGAGGCGGCCCCCCTTGAGGCCCTCTTGAGGCCTTCCACCTACGTCCGAGGCCTCTAGGGGACCCCAAGCACCTGGAAGGGAACAGGGGGGGCGGGGGGGCCTTTTGAGGCCTTCCCTCTCCGGCCGAGGCCTCAAAAAGGGGCCCAGGGCGCCCGCTCCCCCCCCGCTAGGGGGGGGCGCTAGCGGGGGGGGGGCCGTCGCCCCGCGCCCTGGAACATATAATGAAAACGCGTTGTATTTTCATGTGCATCCAATAAAGATCTAGATCACTTATTCGTAAGACTGGAGGTCCGAGTATTGTTTCGTCTTGCTGGTAGTGCATGCATAGATGCGCGATGTGACAGTATTCAAGAGAGGCCGACTTCTTCCCATTCGTTCAGAAGCTGCTCGATATTGCTGTTGCAAAAATGCACAACCTGATCTTCATGAGCTGAACATGAAAGTATAGATAGAGCTTTTACTGAGGTCTGAGCACTACCAATGAGGTGTGGTGGTTTGCGTACTTAGTCTCCACAATATCTGCTTTCGACCAATCTTGCACCAATGAAAAGCATGAAGTCGAGCACAGTAGGAATCATCTGCAACACACAGGTGCGTCACAACCGCGAATCTTTGGGCCTGTTTCCGCAGGGCGGTAACGACGTCAATGCCACGGATAACGCTGGCGCCAACGTGGAGATCCCAGCATTGCTTGGCGGCGGAGGTGCAATGACGCCGGGAAGAGACGGGGTAGACGCAATCCGCATGAGTAAAACTGGCTTTTGGGTGAGGGGAAATGAGGACGAGAAAGTGTGGCAGGATGACCTACTGGAGCTCGACCTGGACCTGCTGGGAGCGACAGCCCACAAAGCCGGATCGCTGAAAGCTCAAACACAGAGCTCGAGCGAGAAACTCTGGGTAGAGCGTTACAGCACATCTTCGCCCGGATTCGGGCCGACTCCATTAAACGCGGAAGTCGTTAAATACGGGGGATGGCTGGTTGGTAATGTGGCAGGTATCGCAACGCTCATAACGTATGGAATTTGCCTAGCGCACGATGCTTACCTCGGGTTTGGTGCTTTATGGTGGTGCTTGGCGAAGGTTGTGGCCCCTTCGTTGTTCATACAGGTGCACACCCTCACCCGGACCATGCTCACATACGGGCACTGGAATGTGATGCCTACCGGAATTGACGAGCAGGCAGAAATTTTCGATCTGCCGGAAATTGCAAAGCCCGACTTTGGGAGGGGCTCTGGCGAAGACGACGCGGACCGCGAGGTGCGGAAGCACGTGGGCGCGATTCGGGTGAACAACTGGGAACCGGTGAAACAGACTGCTGCCATCGGCAGAAGGCTAGGGGACCAGCGTCTGTTGGGCAAGCGCAAGACGCTGAACAAAAACACCAGACAGAACGTCGTTGCTACCACCAGGTCCGATCAGAGCCTGGCGGCAAATCAGCACCTGCAGTCGGACTTCTCTTTGATGCAACAGCGCGCGGACGAGAGGGAAAACGACGAGGAAAACGATGCAGAAGGCATTTTAGCACAAGATTCGGAGGAGCTCCTGAACGATTTGTCCAGCATTCAGCATCTGACGAAGGAGCTGGCCGAAGCAAACGCAAGCCTCGACGCTACGCTCCACGATGTGAGGCAAGATTCGGTGAAACTTGCAAACAACGAAAACGCCATCAACCAACTGACGGAACAGGCTGCGGAGATGTCGCAGCTCCACAAGCAGGTGGAGACTTTCGCGGGACATAAAGACACGGTCCAACAGACAAACAACGCTATTCAGGAGCGACAGCAATTCGCGACACAGGTTACGGAGACCGCCTCGAGCAACCGTGCGCTGATGCGTACAGCGGTGACAGCAGGAGAGGTACTCGTCGAGTCCGCCACGAAAGCAGTGGATGAACAACGAGTGAAAGTTTCAGCTGCGGTGGAAGCTGTGAGGCAGCAATATACTGCGGTTGCACAGCATGTTATTATCCGGGAGGAGGAAACTACTACGCAGAATACGGAAGAACAAGTCGCGCAGCAAGCAGAGCAGACTGTTATGAGTGCGATGGACCCGGAAAAGTCAAAGGCTCGGCAGACGAGAAGGGAAACGCAAAAGAAGCAGACGCAGACAGCGAAAAGGGTGCGCGCTTCGATCGAGGCGCTCCGGAAAAAACTGGAAGCGAAGTCGGACGCGGCGGCACGTCGGCGTGAGTCGGCCGCAGTGAGCGGGGTTGTCTACCGCAACGGCCTTCGGTCCAACAGCGAGGACAAGGACGACAGGGATCTTGTTTTGAGCAACGCTGCGACCTGGTTGGCATTTCAGCTTGATGCTGCTTCTCCGGGGGACGACATTGAGCAGACGTCGGAGGTGCCTGCATTTCGTTCTTTGATGACTACAAGTGTGCAGTCACAGCAGGGGGACTGGTGCAGCGCAGACGAGATAAGGGGGTCCTCGGCGTCGACGCTGGTGTCGCAGGCCGCGCCTCTACCAAACCTATTGTCGAGCCTCTTGCGCAACAGTGAGAAGAACCTTACATGGCAGGAGGTCAGGAAAGACCTGGTGGCTCGGGTCGGTGCCGCGCCTTCCCTCACGGGAGACGCGAGAGGGGGATCGGGGTTAGCCCCAGTTCATACAGGCGGTAGGGCTTTCGTGTTCGAACAGGCGGAGCTGCTTATGTGGGAGGTCTTACGCCGTCATGTGTCGGTGATAGGAAGTGGGGAGGCGCCAGCATATCAAATTTTGGCGCATTTTCTGCAGCTGCTCAGCAGAGAAGAGAAGATGATAGACGATGAGCAAACTCATGATGATCGGTTCACGAGTGACCGCGTGTTCCTAGTCTCCGAGCTGCGAGCTAACATTCAAAGGGCGACCAACAAAAGGTCTATGTCAACGACAGCGCTCGTTTTGAACGCTCCCTGGATCCGAGAACTGGTTCGGACTTGGCAAGCGTCGGATGAGTGGCGAACACATGAGATGCGCAGCACCGATGTGCGTGAGTGGTCAACAGCAAAGGACGCGGAAGTCCATTTTCTTGCTTGTATTGAAGACTTGATAGAGCCGCCGCGACCTGCGATTGTTGCAGGAGAAACTGCGGGACGACCAAAGAAGTCACCGTTTCTGCATGCTTATGCAAAAGAGCCGCTTCAAAGAAGCAGCGCTCAGTCTGGCGAAATCGATATTCTGCAAGCTTCATGCACCAAGCTGGTGCCTGCTACGCTCAAGACGACGAGCACCGGCGACACATCAAGTCCGGAAAGTAGTAGACCGGTGTCCTTTTTCAAAGTCTATCGATGGGATCGAATGGCTGTTCAAAGATGGATGCTGTCCCGCGTGGGCCCCAGAGGAGAGGCGAGCCTCGCAGCGTCATCTGTAAAGTTAGAGACTCCTGTAATAAAGTTGGAAACTTTTCTGGAGAAATTGCTTATTCCCTTGGACAACCTGTTCACGGAGAGTGCATATCGTAGCGGCCTACAAGGCGGCGGCAGTTCTGGCAACTACACTGACGTAAAGTTACTACAAAGAAATCTGCGACGACTTGCGGACAGAGTTCTGCGAGTCATTGCTGCGTCGGATTCGACACCCCCAGAGGTGGGCACACCCGCGGCAACCTTGAAGCCTGACGCACAGTCGGATTTCGTGTCGGAGCTAGATGCGATAATTGACAAAGAGCTGGATATTTTGGACTCGAAGTTCTTCAGAAATCCGCTTGAGGATTGAGATTTTTAGACGTCTACAAGAAAAATGTACCCCATTAAGCTTTCTAGTAAAACGATTATCATCACATTTAATTCCTTTCTTGAAAATGAATGAATCCCGAAGAACCCATGTTGTCTAACAAATGTATAGAACTGATGAAAATTGATTATATCAAGTGAACTGCTAACCCCGAATTTGTCGTCTTGGTACAACGACAGAAAAAGAAAGTAATAATGAAGAGTTTGCTTGTCTTATCTCCCCGTTCCTTCTGTGAGATGTTGCGACGTGTGAAAAATTTATAATGTATTACAAAGGGCTTTTTTCTTTTGGTGCACACTGATCGCCAAGCTGACTATTTTTCGTTTTTTCCTCGCGTGCTGCCAAAATCATTACTTTGTCCCCGATAAGGAAAAAGCTAGTTTTCCTCAAATGAGAAATTTTTTCGAAGAACAAGGCACTGATAGTCGCGGACCGCGGATTTGCAGACTCTGGGGTCACATTCACTGTGTGCAGCGACGTTGCCTTTGCAAATAGTTACTGTTGCAAACGTGACTATCGAGGATCGCCGGAGAGGTTATTGGCACCGAGCAACAGTTTCTGTCTGCGCAGTGGACCAGATTAAGTTCGTGAAAGCTGGTGTGCGTAGACAGCTAAAAAAGATCCGATGACTGTATAATGATTTCAAGCAGTAATAACTACAAGAAAGCTCCACTTAGACTCAACATGTTAGTAAAGATCCGGAAATACCTGCGTCAGCGAAAGATCACAGGGATCGGCGTTTTGTTCCGCGCAGCAGAAAACGCGCATACTAGATATAGCAGAGCGAAACAAACGTAGATTTAGAGTTTTAATCGCAACATCCATGACATCGACATCTACAACGATTCATTCCGCTCAATTCAATATTCACAGGACGGAAGTTGTTGTATGTAAAGATACCAGCAGTTTTCATATTTATGTACGGCCTTGGTTGCGCCACACGGTGGGAAGTGCATACCGTGGTTTTGGTTTTTCGCGCGTTTCTTGAATATCTTTGGATTGGTGTTATCGATTTTTCCCACGACCCTGTGAACATTCTATTTTAGCCCCATCGCTTTCTCTCGTATGTTGCCCCAGCGCTTCTAAGACTGCTAGATTACATGTCATATGTAAATGCATGATGGGCAGATACCTTGCTACAGCGCCATTCTTGTTTGTGGAAATATAAAGATAGTCGCGCGACTTATATTTGTGCTGCGACACTACATTGTAAGCCTAGATAGGATACGTCACTACGTGTTCGTTTCCTACCCGCTCGCTCAAAGAGCTGTTGGATAATCAGTTACTGGTTGCGGTATTTCTGACGAAATTGGTTTTTTCAGTACCTCCTTTCAACAAACTTTATTCGATTTTTTCATTGTGTAACTCAATTTCATTTTGATTGCGGCTTTGTGCACACTCAATCACGTTTACTTGTGAAGAAAGAAAAAACACCACCCTCCGCGTTCTCGCCAAGGCAACTTGTAGTTTACTGAGAAGGCATCTTCACAATGACATCAAGATTGGTGTCTCCTCTCCTCCTGGCCAGGTGGGTTCACCCCTGCCTCAGCATCTTGAGCCTCGCCATTTTGGGTGAGGTTGGCGGAAATGATATCGCGTCACTACTCAGGGATGGCGCCGCTTCTCCACCAGGGTGGGGCTTGGTCGATGTGGACGAGGAAGAGTCTCAGGAACAGGAAGACGAAGAAGAAGATGCCCCGGCGCCTGAGGAAAACGACTCAAGCGTAGGCAAAGCTCTGTGCGTTGCTGGTCGGTGGAGAGCAGTACAAGCTGACCGTGCTTTGCAGCTTGCGCTGTCACAGGCGCCTTCACCCCTGGGCGCGTCGGATTTTCAGACAGAGGCCCTCCTGCTCAAGCTGCCAAGGCTGCGAAAAATGCAGCAGGCGTTACTGCTGGATACGACGGCGACGAGTAAAGCAGGCCAAACGAAAGCTGGGGCATTGCCGCTGCTTCTGTCCTCCATGTTCCAGAATCTGGAACAGTTGGACACCAGACGCAGCTCGCTGTTGCGACTTCGCGACCTCCCACTGAAAGATTGCGAGTCCTGCCCAAAGAGACGGCTTCAAGAGGCTTTCCGTGAGGAGAGCATCGAGCCCTTGTGGGAAAAGATTACGGTTGACTCTGCTCTTTTGCGTAAGAAAGAAAGGGAGTTTTACGAGGAAGCACGACTGCTGGCTGCAGTGGGAGCTGGATTCTGTCACGAATTTTCGGAAGACGGGAAAGACGCATCTTCTAACAGGATGGATCAGTTGGGAAAATTGTATTGCACGGCGAGTGAGGAAGCTACTGCGTTCCTATTGAAAAAGGTGAAGTCCTTTCATCACAAATCTTTCAGTGCAGAGGACAGCACAACCACTGTTGTGGAAAGAGTGCAGCCGAGAGATTTTTCTTTCGTTTTCCAGCGGCCAGGGGCCACAGTCACACCAGCTGTGAGCAGGGACAGCGCAGTGGCGGCGCAGTGTCGTGGCCCTTCTGAAGAAGAAGACTTTCAGCAGACGCTGCGCAGTTTTCTTATTGCTGAGTTGCGCAAAGCCCACCAGGCTGCAGCCTCAGTGCGCGAGTACTCCCAACTTCAGACGCGGCTTCAAGAGAGGCTAACTGATTGGGACCTCGCTCTCCGCTATCGATTGCCGCAACTCATGCTTCTGAAACTCGAGCAAGCGCCTGCGGGATCTAGGAGTGATATGATCTCTCCGCATGGCACTGGCATAGCCACGACGAGTACTTTCAAAGTATGGGCTTCAGAAGCTAGAAATGGAATTCCTGCTGATGTGGCCCTCTTTTCGAAGATACCGCTGGCTGCGGCTGTTGAAAATGTTGTTTCGCAAGGGTTCGGGACCACGCAAAAGCCTGGGGCGCCTGGTGCTATGGTGTCCGAGAGCCCCAAGGCATTTCTGGCTGCCCTGGCACCATATAAGCAACACATGACACAACTTGGAATGCTGGCGGGATTCGTCAGTCTCTTTCCGGAGCTGCTGCAGCAGGGAGAAAGGGACATCAGAGCCGCTCCATCTATCGAGCCAGATGCGAATCACGGTCTATCGCAACTTTTTTTGGCTGCAGAGTTCCTGCAGAAGCTGTACTTTACTGCCTTCTTCCTGGAAGAGCACAAGAAAGTGGCTGCGACCGTATCTGTGACAAGGGAACTGCTAGAAAGGTACCGCAACAGCAGGACCGTTCACGAAACTAATACGGGTTTTAAACAAGAAGGTGATAAAGACGAAGGTACGCTGGATGCGCAAATGCGGTGGATGCAGTTAGTGGAAGACCAGTGGAAAGACCACGGGGAGGGTGTCTTCTCGTGGCACAAACTCGGAGTGACGCTATTCGAGAGGGCTCAGAGAGAAGTGGCGGCCACCGCGACGCTGCCGGGCGGAGAGCAGCACCAAGCTGCTACTACGGGCCTTGAGATAGCGACGTTGAACGCAGCAGGCAAACTGCTTCTCCTCTCAGCATTGCATGGGTACGCGAACTGCCTTGCCAGCCGGGTTGGCATTCCTGGCGCGAAGTTGGTTCGCCGGGCTTTTTCTTTCGTGAAAGAGTCATTGATAGCAACGGCAGGGCGCTGCATCACGACCGGGAAGCCGTACGCCCTTAAGACGATCCTGCGAGATTTCCCATTTCTGCATCGATTTGTCATGCTAACCGAGGAGATGGAAATGGAAAGCATGGCCGCGCACCGGAAAATTCTCGCCGAGCAACCTGAAGGTCAATGCTCGCACATCATGAGGCAGTACTTTGCGAATCCGGTGGCTAAAGGCTACGATGCCGGGAAAGACACTGGAGGTGATGTTTCGTTTTCGTTCAAGTTACGCGAAGAGGACAGCGCCAAGAGCGAATCAGCGACAGCTTTTCCCATTCGTACAAAGAAGGAACGTGCTGAACAAGCGCTTCTGCTTAGTCGTGGAGGCCAAGTTGCTACTCCGGGCCCTGCCACGGGGACGGTCTCGGAACCGGGTTCCACTTCCACCCAGGACGTGTTCAAAGCGTTGCGTCGGTATGCCAAGGCCGTTGAGGCAGTGTATGCTGAAACCGTTGTGGAGCCGATCCGACTCAGACAGAAAGGCAAAAACGTTGAAGAGAGCAGGACGGAACATGATCATCAGGACCCGGTAGCTGGTGCTGGTGCGACATTGATGGTTTTACCGTCTTACTCTGCTGCTACGATGATAGAGAAGCTCGCAGATGCGCATCGAGCGGATGTTGCGAAGCGCGAAGAGTGGACGAAAGACACGTTTCGAAGCCGAATGCGAAAAGAGCATGTGGATGCGATTTATGAGGCAATTGTGGGCAGCAGAGATGTGCTCGACGTGGATCGGGCGGCTCTGCTTGCAGCAAAACAAGCCGATGGTCGTGAAGGAGGTGGACAGCCCAGTCTAATAAGTGGCACTACCAGAGCAGCGTTTCGAGTGGACCCCTTCGCCGAAAAAATCGAAAAACTACTCTCCCGATTGAAGGCGGATGTGGCCGGTTTCTGCGGACAAGCTCTTCCAGGCTTCGATGAGAACTATGCGCAAGTTGAGCAGATGCTTGTGGGTTGGCTCGTAAGCGTAGGTGAGTTCTTTGGCGAAAGAACGCGAAAGGCATTCGGGGTTGAGGATGTCCGCGCTTCGAAGGGGCGCGAAACGTCGGGTGGTGCAGAAGGTGGCTGTACTCGTCCTCGTCGGCCACATGCGTTCGTGTGGCTAGACGTACTGCTTTCTCGGTATTTGCGTTCGGTGTCCTTGGTCGACAGCCTTGCGAAACTGCTTCATGAGATCGAGGGTGGGAAGCCCCCGGGAGGAGAAGTTGCAGCAAATCTTGCCTCGCTCCGTGGTGCGGAAATGGGTGTGGAGACGATGAAAGCGAAGGCAGAGGCTTCCGTGAAAGCGATGAAATCAAGAGTAGTTGGGTCACAGGCGCCCGAGCATGCTTCGGAAATCGGGCGGGTACTCGCCGCTTTGCTCACTGTGTTCAACGAGAAACTGCGAATGCAAATGATGGATAATTTTCTGACGCGCGTGCTGCGCTGGACCAGCAGTGTGTTCAGCGGCCACTGCGACGTGTTCCTGGATCCTAACTCCAGTCAGAAACCTGGCCATCGGCAGAAGCATCGCGGCCTTGCGGAGCGACCACGGATGGACTTGTATACTCTACAGTACGTGCGTCGCGGCATCGAGCTTAGGAGGGAGGAGCGCGCCGACGCAGAGAAAAAGAGCCTGTCGCAGTCGTCGAAGCGAGAGCTTGCGATTGCTTACCGTGCGTTGGATGTGCTGGCTAATGATGAGGATTTCATGATTGCAGCTGCGGCGGCCCAGGGTCTGCCTGTGCCGCCGGCCCAAGGTGAAAGAATGGAGGCCGCCCCCTCTTCTACGCCTTCTGGAGTAGGATCCTCTGGATCGGCTGTTCCTGGTGGCCATGCAGAAGGTTCTTTTCTCCTCGGCGACGTACCAACAGGACTCTTTGTGGAATCTCT